TTGCTAATGATTTGATGCTCTTCTCTCATGGCAGCCTCCTATCAATTCAGAAACGTAAGCTTGCAATTGATACTTCTTCCCTCCTATCAGGCCTCCAAATAAACCTCAGCAAAAGCCAAATTTTCCTCTCTGGTATCAATGAAGCAACTAAGCACACCATCTTATCATTTATAAGACTTAAAAAGGGTGAACTTCCAGTGAGATACTTAGGTGTTCCACTGATCACATCTATACTTAAAGCCCATGATTGCAGGGCCTTAATTGATAAGGTTACCTCCAGAATTGCTCACTGGACCAGCAGAGACTTATCATTCGCAAGAAGATTGCAGTTTATTAGGGCTGTTTTATTTTTTGCTCAAATGTATTGGAGCTTAAAGTTTATACTCCCTGCAAGCATCATCAAGGAACTCAACATAATATTCAGAGCCTTTCTTTGGTTTGGGCCAGCACTCAAGAAAACTGGAACCAAAGTGGCTTGGGAGTACTACTGCTTACTTAGAATAGTTAGGGGTCTTGGACTACCAAACTTGTACACTTAGAACAGAGTAGCTGTAATGAAGCACCTTTGGCATTTGTTCAAATCCAAAGACATGTTATGGGTGCAGTGGGTAGACATTTACCTATTTAAAGGTAGAAGTATCTGGGATGTGAAGACTCCTAGCCAGTGCTCATGGAATTGGAGGAAACTTCTTCAACTTAGGGCTGCATTTAGGCCTCTTGTCAATCTAGAAATTGGGGGATGGAAGACATATTAATTTTTGGTTTGACAAATGGTGTTACTTTGGCCCTTTATACCAGCTTATTTACCCCCAACAGCTTAGTGAGTCACCTTATGACAGTACGACGAAGGTTAGCTCTTTCATCTATGGTTCTACATGGTCCTTTCCTCCTACTGTCACCAACATCATCCCACAGTTACACCAATTGCACAGATTACCACAACCAATCCCACACAAACTGGACGAGCTAAGTTGGATACCATTATCATCAAGTGAATTCTTAATTCCACAAACCATCAAATATCTCAATCACCATCTACCATCGATCTGTACCATGGGCTCACCTTGTTTGGCCTAAGCTCTCAATTCCCAAGCACTCATTTACCCTATGGATTGCCATTAGACACAGGTTGCCAACACTAGATCGAAAATGCACTAATCACATCAACTCCACCATATGTGTTCTATGCAACAATGAATTGGAAAATCACGATCATCTCTTCTTTAAATGCTCTTTTGGGAAACCCTTTTATGGACATTTATCCAAGCACGTTGTGGGTATTACTTCATGCCAACAAATTTGGGAAGTTCGATCTCATGGATTTCTCATAATTGGAGAAGAGACACTTTAACACTCAGCAGCTCAGTTTCGGAGTTTGTTTTGGCTTCACTTGTCTATCATGTCTAGAACGAGCGCAATAGAAGAATTTTCAAGAAGAAAACAAAGTCACAAAACACAATCCTACATCTCACTCTCGACACTGTCCAATTGAAGCTGATGGCATCCACATTCCCTAACTCACCTGTAAGCAGAAGGATTGTTGATGATTGGGACCTTCCATTGTCTGTTTTGAGGCCACCGGCGAAACCACCTGACACCTAACAGTGGGGATATGGAGGATTTGTCCATGCTTCACCGGATTGTGAAGTTCTCTCTACTGAACTTCAACTGTTAGCCGTAGCTCTTCTTGGGCTTCTACCTCTGGGGCCTGTTTTGCTTTGGGTTGTAATTTCTTTTCTTTCTCTTGGCCGATTATCTTTATGGGTCTGTAATACTGTTTATATTATATATAAAACTTGAAATTCACTATTCGAAAAAAAAAAAAAAAAAAAAACTTCTGCGATACCCAATCGACTCTACCTCTCTCTTCTCTCCAATTTTGGCTTTCTTTGATCTTTTGGATTTCGAATCTCTTTTGAACATACAAGCCTTAATCTTCTTTTTGAATCTAAAATTTTAAGTCCTAATCTTCTAAGCTCAGTTACGATTTTCTTCTTCTGTTTATTCTTGTTACCCATTTGTAGTGGTATTAAAGAATAATTGCTCTCTTATCTTGATTTTGTGCCATGTAATTTGTATCTGCTGAATTTCAGTAATCTATATATGTTTTGCTGAAAAAGAAATGTATAAGATTGAACTTATAAATTCAAGTTGTTTCCAATATACTCCCTGTGTTCCAAAAAAAAATTCATCTTTTTATTTTTAGATGTCCCAAAATAAAAGCTTTTTATTTTGGGACATCTAAAAATGAAAAGATGAATTTTTTTTCTTTTTTTTTTTTTTTTTTTGAACATTCTTGCATTGAATTTATAAAAATAAACCATTACATGTTTATGAACCCACTGTGAATAATATGATAATTCATTCACTACTACTGTAATAAAAAAATATATATATTAAAACTCATCTCTTAAAAAGTTAAATTCGCTTGTATGTTTTAGCTTCTATATAGTGTATTAATTTTGGGATTTTGTCATATGTTGATAAGACAAAAAAACAAAGAAGGTGGAGATTAGAGAAGAGTACGTGGTTAATATTTTAATATTTTAATTATTTTAGGATACACTTGCTTCTAATAAAATGTTTTAAAAATCCAAAAATGGTAAGTGTTGAAGGTATTTGGTGTGCCTACACCAGAATCGTTATGCACAGGAGCGGCTCAATCTAATTTGGGATCTTAGGCAAAAAAATAAAAATGACCTTTTTAACAATCTAATTTGCGTTAGGCGTGTCTACATCAGAATCGTTATGCACAGGAGCGGCTCAATCTAATTTGGAGTCTTAAGCAAAAAAATAAAAAGTGACCTTTTTAACAATCTAATTTGCATTAGGCGAAAAAAAAAAGTAGCCTTTTTAATAATATAAATAAAATTAGTCATAACTCAAAAACAATATATACAAATATATATACACCCAAATTTATAATAACAAAAGTTAATAAAATTAAAAAATAATTAAAGAAAAGGAACCATTTAACCTGATTCGGAAAACCCAAATCCAATATTTCTACAAATTTTCAATAAAATAAAAATGTGTTCATAATAACTGTAAACTTATAATGAGAGTGAGAGGAGAAGACTTATTCAAAAGAAAAATATAAAACATAATAAAAAATAAAATAAATAATGAAAAATTTTCGTTATTTTTCTGAACAGCATTAAATAGATATTTAATATTTTACTGTTGGTGTATCTTACCCAAAATGTTTTTAGTGCTGTTGTAAAAAATATGAATGAGAGAGAAAGAAAGAGGGAAAAAAAAATTTAATGATACAAATTTTTAGGGGGCCTAAAATTAAATTTCTATATTGGTTTTACTGTAAAACGTGAATGAGAGTAGAAAAAAGAGAGAAAAAAAAGTCATATAAGGAAGTAAATCTTTGGAGGGTAATATTAAATTTATGTATCAATTAGAGTTCAACATAATGAGGGAGGAGAGAGAAAAGAGAAAAAAGAAGAAGTTAAATTAGAATAAAGAATATTTGAGGCCTAATATAAAATCGGAATGAATAAGGAGAGATAAAAAAGATAAAAAATAAGTTATTTTAGGATATAAATATTTGAGGCATAATATAAAATCGAAACGAGTGGTGAATAAACAAAAAAGTTATTTTAGGATATAAATATTTGAGGCCTAATATAAAATTTTTATATTAATTAGAGTTTAATAATATTAGGAAATAATTATAGTAAAACTTAATATAAGAAAATTTTAAAATTTTTGAGCCTTTCTATTGGCTGGGGCCTTAGGCGACCGCCTAAGTCGCCTAAGGGTCGAGCCGGCCCTAGTTGTGCACTACATGCGCATGTGCGGGAAGGGATGGGACACATCTAGAATGGATGGGACACATCTGGATCGTTCATGTAATATACATGTGGTGCGCGGGGTGGAGCTTGGATTTCAAGTGGAGGGGCATGCGATATATATATATATATATAAAAGAAGAAGAAGAAGAAGAAAATTAAAAGTTATTCAAATATGCACGTTAAAAAGAAGAATTTAAAATATATAAAAAGAAAAAGGAAAAAAAAAATGAGAGAATTTGAAAAGAGGTTAAACTTTGATCAAGGAAGGAAAATTTGACTTTTTCTTTTAAGAAAATTAAAGGATTTTGAAGAATAAAAGGGAAATTAAAGAAAAAGTTTAGAGATAATTTTAGAAACTAAAATATTTAAGGGAATACTGTATACATTTTTTTTCATATTTATGGAAAAAAATAAAAAAAATACCACAAATATTGTAGAGGGCGGATCACGCCAGGGGTACGTGCCCCTCCGTCCCTGATTGGATGCACCCGTTACACAGTGCAAGAGGCGAAAAAAAAAAAATTATGGGTTTTTCTTTTTTTTAACCCACCACACAACTAAGGTTCATGTATTGGGAAATAGGACTCTCACGTCACTTGCATCCACTGGTCTGATAACTTAAATGAAACGTAATTGACTCTACCTCTATATTCTTTCTTTCCAATTTTGGCTCTCCCTTAATCTTTTGGATTTAGAATCTCTTTTGAACATGCAAGCCCTTATCTTCCTTCTGAATCTGACAAACCCTAGTCTTCGCAGCCCAGGTACGATTTTCTTCTTCTGTTTATTCTTGTTACCCATTTATAGTGGTCCGTGTTAAAGAACAATTGCTCTCTATTTTCTTGATTTTGTGCCTTGTAATTTCAATCTGCTGAATTTCAGAATTCCATATATGTTTTGCTGAAGAAAAAGGTATAAGATTGAAGTTGAAAATTCAAGTTTTTTTCAATATATGTTTTAGCCTCTGTATATTGTAATTTTTTTTTTTTTTTTTTTAGGGTTTCTACTACGGAGTGCAGATCAAGAGTTTTCCTATATGTTCTGTTAGAATATATTGTATACTAGGATTAGGATTATAACAATATATTCTAACATGTTCTTTTGTTTATTATAGATATATACGTATAAAAGTAAGTGGTAAGCATTTTGAATGAGTTTCTATTGCATCAGGATCATTTAACACTTTGTCTCGAAATGGAAAGGCTCAGAAGAACACGAAGAAATACAAGACTAGGGACAACCCTTTCAAACCTACTGATGAAATTATGCAGTTGTAATGTAAAAGAAGAAGGTGAAGAAAATAAAACCTCTCTTGTTGATCTTCCCTCCTCCATCCTCGTCGCTATTCTTTCGAGCCTTCCAACAATGACCCTCTTGAATTGCAGGCGCGTTTGTAAAACCTGGCATTACTTAATCGCTCAAGATCCTTATTTTACTAAAATTTGTAGTGAGACCAGACCAAACGTCACTGACATTGTGTTTTGGGATCTACATTCTTTTTACTTGCTAGACCTTGGAGAGGACTCGAAATACGTTCGTGGGTATCACTCCCCAATGAGGTTCAGACTCCATTTTAAACCTCATTATCGACATCTAAGATTAGTGGGTTCTTGTAATGGCCTGTTGTGTTTGACGAATGGCAACACTCTTTCCATAACCAATCCCATTTTGGGGGAATGTGTTCTTGTTCCCAAACTCGAAAGGAAGCGAGAGGTTTTCATTTGCATATTTGGATTTAGTGGGGCAACGGGTCACTATAAAATCGTTGGATTTGGTTCAGATGTGTTGGGAGGAACAACCCTTCACTCGGAGGTTGTGGTTTATACTCTCGGAACTGATACTTGGAGATATGTTGGGGATGCTCCATTACCAGAACTCGGAATCGAGTGGTGGGGTGTTACACTGAATGGAGCTGTTCATTGGACGAGTGGTACAAGTTCTGAATTTATATATTCATTTCATTTGGATAAAGAACATGTCTGCCGCCCTATCCCACTTCCTCCTGACTTGAGAAATATAAATATCCATTCTCTCAGAGTGGGGGTGTTGCGAAATTGTCTCTGCATATATCACAATTCCTCGGATTATCTTGATATTTGGTCAATGAATGATTATGGAGTAGCTGAGTCTTGGACTAAAATCCGTATTTTGAAAAACTCAATTCAGCCTATGATGTATCCACCAAGCAGCGTTTGGAGAAATGGGGAGACCTTCTTACCCGCCACACTTTGGAGAGATGGAGAGATCTTGTTTTCATGTGATTGGTATGATTCACATATGTTTTCTTATAATCCCAAAGAAAGGAGTTCTACTGCACTCTACTTGCATGGTCTTTATTTAAAAACAAAGCGCTTAAACTGTACTCGAGGTTTAGAGTTTTGTGCACTTCCCTACCGTCCAAGCTTTTCTTCACTCAAAGATGCTGCAAGCACAGGTGGTTTGAGGATGGTAAATATCAGGTCAAAACAGTAATCTACCTCTCCAGATGCATCAGTATGTTCTAATAATGCTTTATAAGTCTTACTTATGTCCGTGTATGTGGAATAAAGTTAATGTGCTTTCGCAATATCAGTTGGATTCTTCTTTGAATTAATGTTTTTGAGACATTGTTAATCATAAATTATAATTGCAAGAATGTCCAGAGAAAGCACACCTTTTTCCTTCATATATTGAGTTCCAAACTTTGATTTGGTTATGTGACTCAGAAAATTTACATACAATTTTTTTTAAATGCATTGGATGATTTTTGTTTTTTTTTTTTGTTTTTTTGTTTTTTTTTCCCTAGTTAGTATTGGCACAAATTTGTCTCTCATGAGAATTAAACCCCTGACCTCCCTTTGGGAGGTAAGAGACTGATACCGCTAGGCCACTAACCCGTTGGTTATTGGACAATTTCTTTTGGCTGTGTTGATGTCTCTGTAAACATTCTGCATTTTTTTGGTCTTCCATGCATGTATATTTTTCTGAAGTACAGATTTTACTGAATATTGGTTAATAAACATGCTTATTGTACCTCTTTATGTTTACAAGTATATAATATATAATATTTACCTGTACGTATACCTCACAAGTTTATTTTTAATTACCATTTTAAGTTCCATCAGTTTGTTCTAAATTTTTATTCCTATCTTTTGTGTCACAATTATTAACATTGTCTCATTTGTAAAATTCAGTAAAATATACTAATAAAATTATTAACTATTTTGTTCTTTGATTTAACATGCTTGCCATTTTGTGAAACAATATCTTTGTTTGCAATAATATCCTTCGACGAATGTCTTGTTAACCTTTAAATTCTTCTTTTTAACATTAATATAAATGGTCTACACACATGTAGCAAGGCTTAAATAATTGTAATTGGTTATGAGATGATTGTGCAATTTAAGTTTTATTATAAAGAATTGGCCCCTGGTGGATAGACTATGAAGAATTTAATGATAATTTTTTTAAAAATTGAATTCCCATAAGCTCTAGTGGTGAAATTAGTTACAGGAAAAAGTTATTGTCTCAATTACCTATACTTTTTTACAAACTTAATATCTAGGCTGTTAAATGGACAATAAATTCATATTACATTTCAGTTTTAAACCTATTTTGATAAAAGCACTCATCTATTCCATATGAGCTTAAAATCACTCGGGTTCGATTTTCACTTGAAGTTTACAATTACTTAGGGGCCATGCCTCCCCTACCATATTCAATGACTTACCTACAAAGGCTAATAAGTTAAAAAGGAATTATACATTGGCCAGTTGCAGAAATGTACAGAGAGATTGTTTTTAAATTAGAGGCTAAGGCGCGATAGGCCTTGGCAAATGCTGAAGCCATACATATAACTTTAAACGATGGTGACGAGAACAAAAGTTATGAAATATTGAAATGTCAATGAAGAGGTATGGAAATGGTAGCTATCGTCTTTCCAAAGCTGGCTCTTTGAGTGGATTGAGATCAGCAATGGCCAATAAGAAAACTACTTACTGAGACTGATGTAGATCAAAATGGATTTATATCAATTGGTCATTTACACCCAAAATTAAAGGCTAAAGCGCAACAAGCCTTGGCAAGTGATCGATGGTGACAAGAAGAAACGTTAATGAGGATGCATGGAACTGGTAGCTATCGGCTTTCCAGAGATGGCCTTCTGATGAGAGGCAATAGATTCCAACGTGGTCATTTCATGGGATTCAAATTCACTTGTAGTGTCTTGCACTTTAAAGTGCTAGAATATAGATTTCTTTATCTAGTTTAAGTCTGGTGATAACACTGGTCTAGTTGATAGGGTCCCAAGCTGGTGTCCCCGTATTTGAGTTCCCTTCCATAGTTTGTCCCCCCAAAAAAAAATAATAATAATAATAATAAAATAAAATAAGATCTTACAATAAAAGTGCAACTTAAGTACTAGATTTTTACTTTTTGTTTTTTTGGAACTCAGAAAGTAGGAGGGAAAAAACAAATGGAATAACAAGGATTTCATGTTATTCTTCATGTGATAGTGTTGGGCAACTGTTAGGAAAATATGAAGAAAATAAAGAATTATTTTGACTTTAGATAAATTTAAAGACCTTTTACAAAACAAAAGCAAAGTTTCTCACAAATTTGATCGTTTATTTCTTTTCACATTTCTTTCCCCTTTTTCTCTTCATTCATTTTTCCTTCAACGTGTATCATTATTATTATTGTTTTGTTTCGTTTTTTTGTGATTTTTATTTTATTTTTTTTTTTTATTATTTTTTTTTTTTACAAGTAGCGAATTTTTAGTTGTTTTTTAAAACATTAAATTTTTCAGACACAGTTTTCCACATAGATAGTGGTGGATCCAGATTGACGAACACAATATTGAATTAATTTTGTTGCCTTTGGGATAACAAATTGTAGGTAAAGCAAAGATATAAACGAAACTTGAACTTTTTCAGAAACGTAATTCTATTTGGTTAAGATTTGTTGGACAAAAAAAAAAAAAAACCCAAAAATTAAAGAAATAAAGACCAACATAACAAAGAAGTAGAAGCTAATAGCTTATCAAGAGAGTTGATACAATAACTAACTAATTTGATTGCCTACTCCAACCCGTAAGACAAGTATGCTGAGAACTTTTATTTAAACTCTCAAGAATCCAAATGCTTACAACTTCACATTTAACAATCCAAATCTGGTGGATCTGGATCGTTAATGATCGATGACACGCAACCGGGTCCTTAACCGAACTTGAGAAATAAATGAGGATAAAACGGTCATTATGGGTCACTTCATTAGTAAATGGGTCCACTAGAGTTATACCGGTCATTTGCAGGGGTTATATCATGGTTGAAATGAAGATCTAGGTTAATTGTGTAAATATCCACATGTATAGGAACACGGCGATGACCGGTAGCAAGCGTCGGACGACCGATCCTAGTGTCCTACGTGCACCTGAGCGCGTGGAGGGTGCACACGTGCGCGTGCCAGGACAAGCAATGATCGGTCGCATGATCAACGACCGATCGCTCAAACCAAATCTCACTTGTCTACAGTGAACTGGGAGGAAAATTAAATTTGTAGAGTGGACAACCGGTCATAGGGATCCTACGTACGACCGATCATAGAACCTAGAAAATGTAATCTTAACTCTTTTGTAAGTCGAACATTGTTACTTGTGAAATTAACCTTAACCTAAACACAATATGGATCAATAAAATACCAACACATGTGTATACTTATGTAAATCAATAAATTGAGTCAATGGTAAATATAGTCCCTTCCATTCATTGCATATTATATACATCATATGATTAATTTCATGGTTTACATGCCCAATATACAAAATAATGCTTGTACCACTATCAACATGCCCTAAATACAAAAGTATAGCCCAAAAGAATACAGTGACAACATTTTTATATTATGTTACAAAAATTACAAGTCTATGGTCAAGTCATTGCAAAAATAAAACTAATGTTATTTCAAAACGGGTCAAAAGAAACTGTTTGTCCTAGTACCTATTTGTGTTTGCCTCTTTAATGTTAAAACTAGGTGTTTCAGGGCTGCCATGGCCTTATATCACTACCATTGCTGTGCACTATGGCTTATATCATCTCTCAAGGGTAGTATAGTCTTTTTCCATCTTGTGGTACAACTTCACAATGGTTTAAGATAGTATATTGCAGTTATTCATATACTTACAGCGAGTTTTCTATTTTAATTGAGATTCAACATATGAAAATTAGCTATAGGGCTATTTAGGGATACTATGGTCATTTCATAGTTGTATTATATCTTTATACATTTGTCCATCTTGCTGCATTGCATTGAACAACTGTGATTTGAGTTGCATTGTGAATTATACAGTCTTAGTAACAGTTTTATGCTGAGAATGACAAGTGGCTGTTTCAAGGGTATTTTGGTTTTTCTGCTTGAAGTTCATGTGTGTGACACGTTACTGTGGTCCTAGAGTGAGATTATATACATTACATTGCATTTCTTAATCTCTAAGTTTTGGATAAGAATGCTTACATAGCCTTGCAAATGTAAGCTGTATTTTCTAGTAAGCTAGAGGACAAAATAGCTGAATTGGCAAGGGCATTATGGTCTATTCTCACAGAGAATGGCAGAATATTCTTTGGCCAATGATTGGTTATAGGTGGTCGGTTGATAAATGTCTACCAAAATTAATCAACCCTTGCAATAGCACAAATCATTGTAAAATAAGGCTATCATAGGGATAAGTCGAACCACAAGGACTGCAAGTTTATGGCAATCAAGGTCTTTAAAATCACTTTGTTTGATAAAAGAGGTGTAGAGTTTTTGGTTTGTTTGTCACTTAGACTTTGGAATTAAAATGTGCATAAAGCAATAAATTGAAGGAGATTAAAAAGAAAGAAACTTTGGTAGAGAGGACTAGGGAAATGAATCAACTATCAACCCTATAAACATGCTAGCTTATAATTAACTTGAGAAACAAATTAGATATATGGCAATAATATGTAGCAATACAAGATTACTACATTATCTTCAAGATGTTCATAGAATCAAGAATTAAGTATAATCCCTCAAAGTTCCACATGTTTGAACTACCTAAATTAGGGTGTAGCTTTGACATGCTTACTAAGCTAGGGACTATCAAACCCCTGAATCACTATGGTAAGAGCACATGAAATCAAGAACCAAAAAAAATCCATCAAAGGGAGGCCCTAAGCTATAGACTAACAAGTTTCTCATATAACATGCCAATAAATCCATTTCACAATCTCATTTTCATTCTCACTATGAAGATGCAAGCTATATGATCATGAAAGGAAACAATCTAAGATAAGATAATCAACTCAAAATGATCATTTATAGACATTAATATCCATTACAACATGTAAAAGTGCTCTAGATTATGAAAATACCATATACACACATCATTCCCCAAATTAAAATCAAAACTAGAGCATGCTTACAAAGAAGTGCTTTATCACCTCCCTAGAAAGGGAGTTTACCCATAGAAGCAAGGGATGAAGGAGTAGAGATGGCCAACCCCTCCATTTTCGCACCTAGAGGTAGCTCCAACCCAAAGCTCTCAAGAACAATCTTTCTCTCTTTAGAAAATCCTTGCAAATGTGTGATGATGTTCTATCATGATACAAGCCACCAAATATAGGTCAAAAATCCTATCTAACTTCCTCAATTCGTGGCTCAGAAATCCTTAGAAGGTATCATAACCATTTATTTAGTCAAAGGGGACAACTTGAGCAAAACAATGGAGTTGGTGGCCTGCTATTTGTAGCTTGGCGGGCGCCCGCAGCACAGGGCGAGCGCCTACAAGGTGTCACGGGAGCTTGATGGCTGCACTTGGCGGGGGCCCGCAATACTTGGCGGGGCCCCACAAAAATTGAAACTTTCTGGACCAATCAGTGGCCGCCCACAGTGCATGGCGGGCGCCCGCAATACTCTTGGGCACAACTTTGCTTCTTGAAATGATTTTTGCTCGCCCCGATGACATAATCATCGTTCTTAGCACTTTTTATGGAGAGAACCTTGAGTTCAATGGTTCACTGGCTTGACAAATTTGAAAGACCCTTGTTCTTAATTTATTGTTGAAGCTGCTGTCAAGGCCTTATTGATGTTGTATTCTGATTCACATGCTATACTTATCTTGTTTATCATCTAAGCATATTTGTAATGCTGATATAATGATGTGGGATTGATCTCAGAATTTTGGGGACACAAATTTCCAATTTTACTCCTAAAACCCTAACTTCAGCAGAATGTGTTATGTAAGGTACAAATTGTTGTTTTGAGCTGCACAACCACAATTATCTTTTGTATAGGCTTGAATATTATTAATATTCATACTTCTTATTGTATTTGGTGAGCTGTGAGAGCTTGTAAAGTCCAAGCAAGGGTGCTTAGGACAGGAGGAGTGCTTGTTAGCACTGTGTTGAGCTAGTGTACATGTCTATAGAGGATGTGAAAACTAGTGTTTCAACTTGTACAAGGGTGTGTGCTCAGAGTGTGAGATAGCTAAGTGTGTAACTACTTGTATACAACTAGTGGAGCTTATATTGTCTAAGGCCAAGAACCAAGGTTTTTCCCTATTGAGAGGGTTTTCCTTATAAACCTTGTGTTAGTTGTATTTAATCTCAATTGTGAACATTGATGTGTTGAAGAAGGATTTAAAATTGACCAATTCATCCCCCCTTTTGGTCCAACAATTGGTATTAGAGTTTTAGTCTGTATATTAAGGTTTTAACAGGCTTGCAGTTGATCCTTGCAATGGAAGAAAGTTAAGTCACCAATAAGGCACCAGGGGTTTGATGGTTCTAACCATGATTCTTGGAAGACTAGGATGAAAGCCTTTCTAATGTCTCAATCCTATGATGTTTGGCATGCCATTGTGTTTGGCATTGTTGTTCTCAATCCAATTAATCCCTCTATAGATATATGACAGGGCTACTTTGGCTAATGATGAAAGGGAAAAACATGCCCTTTTTTGTGCTCTTAAACAACATGAGTTCACAAGGATTAAAAATTGCAAGATAACTAAAGAAATGTGGGATTCTCTTAAGGCTACTCATGAAGGGATCAATGTAATTAAAGAGAATAAGACAGCTTCTAAAAGTTGAATATGAAAATTGTAAAATGGAGGAGAGAGAAGCTATAACAGTTTACTTATCCAGGATCAATGAGATAGTTAACAACATAAAGGCTTTTATCTCTGACTGAGATGTTGCTCCTGAAAAAGATAAACCAGATGAAGGTCAAGAGGATGAGTGTCTGTTCATGGCTATTCTTGAAACCTCTCAAGATCAAGGTGAAGTGGAAGAAGATAGTGACATTGAAGTTGATGAAATTCTTGAAGAATGTGAAAGATTAGTTGTTAAGTGTGATCAACAGATCGAAGTTTTAAATCAAGAAGCTTGACTCAGAGCTGCAGAAGTCCAAACAATTGCTTTCAAAGCACTTCAGGCTAAAACTATCAACACTGTGTTCAATCTCCTTGACTGTGTTTAGTCTTGTACGATTTTAAAACTTCTTTTTACCTATTATAAGGACTCTGTAGTATATATATAACACGTCTATCTCTAACCCTAGAAGAGATTGATTGCTTTAATTGGAAAAATAAAGTTTTCATCTTTTGTATGAATATTGAAGTTTTTTTTTAGATATTTTTCAAAGAAATCTGATTGTGTATTTTTTTAGAGCAAACACTTGAAATTACTGGTTGATTAAAACAACAAATTTTCTATTAACCTTCAGAAAATTCAGATTTAAAGGAACAGGAGGTTTTGATCACACTACGAGGGGATCAAGGCATTCGTGGAGTGCTTGTTGATCTACTAACTATCCTTTTACATGGATTAAGGAAGTAGGTCTGAAGTCAAGTGTTGTTGAATGGGGGAGTTGCAAAGCCAAATGTGTTCAACTATTATTCTTGGTAGATGAAAGGATGTGAGACTGAGTCAAAGCCCATTATATTTTGCTTCGACACTAGTGGATCGTTTCGCTGGAGATGGCAGAAGTCTCTAAGATTTTTTTTCGTCGATTAATTAATTTTCACCAATCATGATTTCCTAACTAAAAACACGGTGTCATCTCTCAAACTGTACCCTACTTGTTTTACTATATTGTTTTTATTTTTGTAGTTGTGGATGTTTAATTGGTAATATTTGTGGGTGTTATCTCTCAAACTCTACTCTACTTGTTTTACTATAGTGATTTTATTTTTGTAACTGTGGATGTTTAATTGGTAATATTTGTGGGTAATTAATCACTAATCACAAAAATTGGGCAAATTGACCAATTCACTCCCTTTAGATTATTAGAGTGTGATTCACAACTTACTGAACATAATAGCTTCCGTACCACACTACTCACAGTTAAAAAATTAGAAGTGTCATTTAATTTAAGACTAGTGAGAAAGAGAAAGGAAGTGCAAATATGGTGTTCCTTGTGGCATTGTTTCACATTAGCGCTACCATTTATGAGAGCACATTCCAATAGGACGTGTCCAATAACAAGATCAAATCTATTGATCTTCATTAAACACACCAATAAAAGATATATATATATATATATATATATATATATATATATATATATATATTTACCCATATGTACAATATTATGACGTCACAACTCCCTTCTAATACAATCACTGAACCCTAATTTGATTCTTATTCTTACCTGTTTGCTGGTTGAACTTATTTTTATAACTATAGGACGAAGTAGTCATAATATTGTTCAAGATATGCTCATCAGTTGAGAAATTATAGCTTGAGAGTTTTTTTGAAACTCTTTGGTTGCTTGGTTTCCTTCTTCTGATTCTCACTTACTTTTGTTGGCTGTTCAAACTCTAAAAGCTTCGTTATAACCTTATCTGAAAGCTTCATTATAAAGAGAGAGCATTAAGAATTTAAGGATACGTTGATAAATATTAATAAGAGAGGCACAATTTTTCTTCTTCTGTAATAATATTATAAGGACCAAGTAGAGTGTACATCTAAAAATCTATAGGCTCCATTTGGTTAGGTGGAAACACCTAAAAAAGAAAGGAAATATAAAATTTTTAATTTTTTTTAGAGTTTGAATAGATAGAAAGAGAAAACTAATGAAAAAGTTTGTTTCCATACTCGTCTGTTTTCTTTCAAAACTTTTCATGCACAGAACACAGGAAAATAATTTTTTCACTTGAAATGTTTGCCTTTTTATTTGACATTCTTATTTTACCCATTAACTTAATCGTGAAAAACAATTTTTTCGTTTATTTTTGTACTGGATTTCTAAGATGCATGTTCTCCACAAAACAACTTTTTCTTTATTTATTTATTTATTTATTTTTATTTTCACCTTTCTTTGTTTTTCCAAAAGTTCATATATAACCCACAACAACAAAATACAATCAAATCTCCCTAAAAAAAATATATATATAGTATTACCATCAATACATCTCTATATTTTTTTTAAGTTTCATTTCTCATACATTAATAATTAGTTCTACTTCTGCCTCAGAAAATATTATGAAGTCTTATTTTAAATATAAATAAATTATAAATAATTATATTATTAAATTTAATAATCCATTATTTTACTATTTCCTTGCTAAAAATATGCATCAACAAATACAAATTCATTTATTTATTAGTATTTAAAATGATAAGGGTAAATTTGGTATCTTCAATCGATTTTTTTTCACTTTCATGCCATCCAAAATAATAAATTAATATTTTTCTACAATTTTCTTGAATAAATTTTCATTCTAACCAAATGCATGTTAGAAAATAATTTTTTTTCCATTCACTTCACTTTTCTTTCGTTTTTCATTTTTTTTTCTTACTTATTTCCATCTAACCAAACAGAGCCTTAATCAAAAGTTCTCAAGTTACTACATATTTTCCACTAAAATGTTTGTAGTGTAGCATAATATATGCATTTAATCGTCTCTAATGTATATATACTAGTCAACCATATATAGTAGTTTACTATGGCTTGGAAAAAAACCTTTGTCGAAATGGGCACTTGTCAGCAGGATTGAGCAGCGATTTGTGACAAAAACATTCGGGCCAAGGATTCGCGTAAAAAGACTCTTGTGGTAGACAATTGTGAGGCTCATTGGAAGTGGCATTGTGCATCATACGCCAAATGGCTTGTGTAAAATCAGCAGTTCCTTTTTCCCAAACATTTAAGATGCGTGCAAGCTCCTTTCTGTCAGGCCTAACTGTGGTCAAAAAGCGGTAGATACGATGGCCCAGGAGAGTATTGGCAAATTCACTAGGTCTATCGTATATTGGCATGAAAGGCAAGAGAATGCCGGCATTAAGAGAAATCAGATAATCAATAACAGGACCTGGTACGCCCTGTGCATCCACCGTGCTATGGTTCTCGAGGCGTGGGAACATGGTCCGAAAAGGTTTCATGAATCGCTCACCACCAAAGGCTTCCCCAGCTGTGAGGTATATCCTGGTAGAACTGTCAAATCCCATTGCACATAAGATAAGGCCAACCTGCAGAAAACAATGGCAGAATATCATAATCTAAAGAATGTCAATGATATTAACAATGATGGCTAGAAAAGATCAGTAATTTTTTATTAGAGCTGCTGATAGTAGTCATGGAATTGGACAGAAATCATAAAGAAACTTAGGGCCTGTTTGGTACGCATTTTGTTTTTGGTATTTTTGTTTTTGTCGGGTATTGTAGCAATGACCAAAAAACGCATTTGGTAAAAATTGTTTTGTTTTGGACAGTGTTCAAACGTTTCACGAATGGTGGCCAAAAGTCGAAACACCAATTTCATGTTTTTGTATGTTTCCGCACTGTAGCGTTTGGTATTGTAGCAATGGAAGTAAATTTTTAATTTTTTTTTTTCTTTTGTAAAACTCTTAAATTACATTTTAAAACTAACCATTATATTTTTCAAACTTGTAACACTTTTATACCAAATATATTTTCATGTTTTTGCTTCCAAAAATCTTGCAACAAATGAACGTTACGAAACATGCTTTCCAATTGTGGGCAACTTCCTTTGGCCCTTCCATATTTTTGTAAAAAAGTACTATAGGGATGAAAAGACTACCTCTTCTGGAGTTAATGGGCAATTTCCTTTGGCCCTTCCATCTTTCTTTTCTGTAAAGCTTCCATTTGGATATTTCTTCAGTGTTAAGCACCTGCATAAATTTCGCATCAAACATATAACTTCCTTAAATATTAGTGAGATCTTACTCTTTTACTTTAAATAAAAAAATAATTAAATGGAAATTAAATCCAAGAGCCATTAGATTTCTCATTAGTCTCAAAGAGTAAAACTAGGGGTGCCACTAAAAATTACTGCCAATCTTATACTAGTAGTAGCACAATTTAGTTGAGTCACATAGGCCTAACCTTTTTTGCAAAAATAGTAATTTATTCCTTTTAATGGAAAGTATAAGGAGCTGAAGTAGCACGATGATACGATAAGTCTTAAAAAAACAAGACAAGGACATGACAAAAAAACGACAGCAAAATAATTATATAATATATATTATAATATACACGTAAAAAAAACTAATTTTTGCTTCTTTTATAATACCATCGATTTAATCACTAAATTTAGGGCTTAGGGATGGATGGATGTTGTTTTTGTTTATAAGAACTTTAATTTATTTTTTTTATTAACACATGAAATCTTTTAATTTTAAAATTAACAATAGAATCCTACTTTTTTAAAACCATCCCACTGTGTCATGAAAGTGTCCAAAATGTGTCACTCTCATGTCCTAAGCAAATCCCTACCATGTCCAACAAAATTTTATTTTCAAACTCCAGGTCACTCAACACGTGTCTGGATCTGTTCCACACGTGTCTAAATCAAACTCATGCTTGACACTGCACGGCATCCAGAGGAATGTCCATACTTTCTATATACCAATTTACATCTTTATACAAATGACTCTTGCTAGAGAAAACAAAATTGACCCATTCATCCCATCCTCTGAACAAAACCATTTCAATTTGTTACGAAAATTAGAGAACTTACTCAGCAATATCCTGCTTCTCCATCCCAACATGAAGATCTATAACGATGAAGGGACCTTGTCGACGAAGTTTACGAAATGCACTGGTACACAATTCTAAAATGTGTTGCTTAAATGACAGGGCACCATAAATAACTTTACACCTCAACCTTTGGTATTTAGGGTAGTCATGTTGGGTTTAATTAACAAACAACAAGTATAAATCAATATTGATCATCAATTAAAGAGAGGGTTTGATCTCATACCTGATTAGAAAATTAAACTTGAGATACCTTTTTGAGAATTCTTTATCGCCCTTTGAGAGATCTGAAAAATAGAGTGCTTTACCCCCTTCTGAAAGTTGTGATACGATAGGACTGAATAAGGGTTTTAAAACCCCTATATATAACAACAATAAGGGGGGACGGCTTCTCTACAAACAAGCATATCTAAGTCTCCATTCCTATCATGGAAACTTAGATATCAATGGTTAGAATTAAATCACACCAAATAAGTTGGAAAATCACAATCCAACGGTATAAAAACCATACTCCCAATTAGACCACCAAATTGGAAAGTACAACCCAATCCATCAAGTATCAATAATCACATTGTAATCCTAATTTAGAAAACGTAATACATAGGATCATAAAATAATTTTATAATTTAAATATATATATATATAATTCCAACAATCTCCCACTTGGTCCATGCACTCTAAGTTTTATAAAATGACACTATGGATTGCAACACACTTTATAAAAGTCGAGTGGCCACTCATTTTTATTTAGAAAACACAATTATCGAAATTGATGGATTGAAACTTTAGAACACTCTCCTCCATAAATTTCCTCAATAGTGAATCATGAATGTGTAGACAAGTAATATATTAGTCTAAACAGTTCCATGGTCTCAAAACCAATTCCATCTAGGATTCAAGCAAATATATTGGTTTTACTGTATTTCATGAGATATGCAAACTGCATGTGGTCTAAACGCACACCTCACTATCTGTCCTGCTTCATACCATCGCGGTATGTCACCTGAATATATTACAGCAAACCGCCAACCTTCTGTTCAGTGTGAGGGTTTACCGATATGGAGCCAATCTCATATCTAGCCCAAGCTATGATCATAAAGCGTTAACACTCCCACAGGCAAACTTTAGTAGTTATGTTTGGATTTACCAATGTGGTGCCAATTTCACATCTAGCCCAAACAACTTCATGAGTGCAATACCACTCTCAGGCAACAAGAATAATACGTCCACATATCATATACAACAATGTAATAATAATAATGATGATGATGCATCATAACTTTATTTTCATGCAAACAACTGTCACCATCAGGTGTAAATAAACTGAAAGAAAACAACTGCACTGTAACATGATGTAATCGAGAAATCAGACATTATAACACAATGACTCTTGAATACCCATCCGAATCACGTGCTCTTTAAATATTTTTAGCTGAAGACCTTTAGTGAGAGGATCTGCAATCATCCTTGCATATTACGTTTGGTCAATTTTTCATTTTTCATATATTTTGTGATAGCTTCATTATCACAGAAAATTATCAAAGGCTTGTGTATGGAGTCTACAACCTTTAAATCCGCAATAAACTGTTTCAACCACATAGCACGTTTGGTCGCTTCATAACAACTGATCAACTCTGCATATATAGTTGAATCTGCGATAATAGATTGCTTAAAGTTTTTCCATAATACAGCTCTCTGAGCCAACATAAAAATATATCCAGAAGTGGATTTTCTACTACCCGAACAACTTGCATAGTCCGAATCAAAATAACCAACTATCTCCAAACAATCTGATTTCCTGTACACCAAGACAAACTCTTTTGTTCTCTGAAGATACCTCGAAACTTTTTTCACCGCCCTCCAATGAGCAATACCTGGATTTTGCTGAAATCTTCCAAGCATCCCAACAGCTGCAACATGAACTGCATCAGCATTACCCAACACCAATTTCTCCTCAGCCCTGGGTTTTCTCTTGGCTTCGAAGTCCCTGTGATGAACAAGAGATATGAATAGATGCACCCGTATCAATCCACCATGTATGATTAGGCACATTTACTAAGTTGGATTCAAAGATTACCATAGTAACTCTCATACCTACTTTGTTTTTCTTTAACCAATTTTTGTAGCTGTAGCAGTCTTTCCTTTGATGTCCTTTCTTTTTACAGAACCAACATTCATCATTCGCATTTGCATACTCAATGCCTTTTCCTTTGTTGTCCTGCTTTCCATTTTTCTGAATTGCCTGATTCCCTTTCTTGCCGCCTTTCCACTTGAAGTTATTCCTGCTTTTCCTGCTTATGGCAAGATGAGCTGACTCAAATTTAGCACCCTTGAGCCGCTCTTCCTCGGTCACACAAAATGCCAATAGCTGATTAATGTTCCATTTTATCTCTTGTGAATTATAATTTACCCTGAAAGCATCAAAAGATCTTGGCAGAGAATAAATCACCATGTGGACCAATAACTCATCATCAAATGTGATTCTCTGCTCTCTGAGACCATTAACCAGCTTGCATAACTTATAGATATGCTCCCACATTGAACCACTGCCATCATAACTGGTTGACATAAGTTGTGTCAAATAATAATACTGAAGTTGCTTCTTGGTACCCATGAATTGCTTCTTAAGTAAATTAAGAAGCGCCTTGGCAGTATCAAATACAGGAATACAGCCATGAATAGTCTCACCAATAGAAGCACGGATCAACCTGATGGTCATGGTATTAGCCTTAGTCCACTTAGCATGTAACAATTTTACTGCTTCAGAAGACTCTTCAGTGATTGCAGCGGGTTTCTCCTCATAAAGTACAAACTCATAGTCCAAGAAACCCAACATAATATCAACACTTGTCCTCCAAGTAGTATAGTTCGAACCATTCAATGGTTCAATCCCTGTGAGCTGTCTTTGAATAGCGGAAGCGTCCATAACTGTAATACATGTTATATCAAATAACATAAAAATGAACGTATAAATTAATATGTTACAACTTTATGGATTATTTCTTTAATTCGTGCTTGGGGTTTTAAGACGAATTTATAGGGTGTTTTATTATATGCAAAACTGTCCACTCTGCAGGAACATATAAAATGCCATCTAAAAAACACCTTTTGGCAGAATTTTAGATTTTATTTTATCCCAAACTTGTGATTAAATCACACATAGACCTATTTGATTATACTTGAATTGTTACTAAACACTTTCACTACCTTTTGGCAAGAGGGTTATTTAGTTATAATCCAAGCACTCTCAAATATTCTACTCACTTATCCCACACTAAGACATTGATCACCTTTTGGCAGAACAAATACCCTCATGTAGGTAAGTGCACTATGAGACCTCAATAAAACCAATGCTTTAAAATTTCAAAAATAATAACCTCTATGAGCATGTCACTTTTTAGCAGGTATCATTCACTTTGACTATTAATTTTGAAACGATCACTTTACCGGTCTTCATAAACCCCCATGAAAGACCTTATATTTAGAAGTTCCATTTAAAATTATATATATAGCACACCCATGAGGTCATGCAATTTCATCACCATTATATGGAATTCTATCAATAAGTCAGTGAGCAATTTAATAAATAATATATGAAATTACTACCTCATATATATAGAATAATTTAAAGAAATAATTAAATATTATCACTCTATACTATACATTATTACAATCAAATTTATTGATTTTGTTTACGATTCGGTGTGCACACAGTATAGCAATATATAAAGAAAACAATATATATATATATATATATATGTATATATATATAAAGCATTTGTCCCTTTTATAACATGGAATCACCATTGACTTTTCAAATCTAAATTGTAAAGGGATTTTTACATATAAATGGAGTTAGGGAGCCATATTTACTCATAGATGAATTCAAAGTCTTATATTTTCACAAAAATGAGTTTGACCTAAATGATGACATGGCACATGAAGTTTTACTGTTTAAAATTTTTGTTACCTAAAATGCCCTTCTCCCTATTCCAATGCATTTACCTTATCACCCTTGTTTAGAAAACATGGTACCTGGAGGCCAAAAAGTGGTACTTTCAGTTCAAAAACGTGGTACCTTTAGAACAAAAGTGGTACCTTCGTAAAAGGGACTTGTTTTTGCAATTGAAAATGACATTAAACCCCATACCACTAATTAAGTTGCACATTACATCCATAAATAGCTCCATTAGCGCCATGAATAACACAAAATATTCTCCAAACTAGCTAAGCGAGTGTTTAGAAAACATGGTACCTGAAGGCCAAAAAGTGGTACCTTCAGTTCAAAAACGTGGTACCTTTAGAACAAAAGTGGTACCTTCGTAAAAGAAACTTATTTTTGTAATTGAAAATGGTATTAAAGCCCACACCGTTAATTAAGTAGCACATTAGATCCATAAACTTCTGTTGAAAAATTTATAAACCTTCTTATTAAATAGAAGAGCCTAACATGTATTTATTAAATAGAACAACCAAAATTCATTACTTTTCATTAAATCAAAACCATCAAAGGAAGTACCATGTCTACAAAATACTTTAAGTCACCACGAATGTCAAAAAAGTTATCATCCAACCAATCTAATAAAGTCAACAAAAAATAAAAAACTAAATCACTAAATTTAAAGGAAGCAATCATCTTTTGCAAAATAAAAACACAATTATTAAGTTTGAACATTTATTAGCCCCCACTCGTCCATACAAAGTCTTGATTGTAATATTAGCCCCCACTCATCCATACAAAGTCTTGATAGCAAGAATCGATTCTCCAATCACACTGTCAAAAAAAAAAAAAAAAAAGGTTACTACATTTAATTGTATCACATTAACAAAAAAATTAACCAACCTTAAAGAAGTAAGCGAAACAGAAAAGGTGAAGGAGAGGAACTGAAAACGTGGACAAATTTTCAAACTCTTAAACAAAATGAAAAAATATAATTAAATGCATAAGATGAGGCATTCCAGAATTTCTAGACTGGGGCATTCCAAAATTTCAATAACACATTAGTATAATTATAATTGTATGTAAAGAAAAATATAATTCTAGACTGGGGCATTCCAGAATCTCAATAACACATTAATCTCTTTAAGTTATAATGTATAAGATGTATGTTTGAATTCATGATAATCATTTTATTCTTATCATACAATTAATATATATATATATATATATATAAGTAGCATCCTACAATTAATTAGGACCCAGATCTATATCAAAATTCTAAATGACCTTCATGTATAAGAGGTCTAGAGACCAAATTGTTTCCCTATTATCATTGAAAAATTCTAAAGATTTAATTATGACCCAGATCCATATCAAACATGATCTTTGGATACCATAATTTTTTTAACAATTGCATTATTAAAATAGTTATTCAAAAGTCCCAAACAGCCTTGCCGATTAAAATGGTGCGAAAAAAAAAAAAATCTACCATACCAACTATTTAGATGTAGTATATGATAATTAAGAAATATTTGTGTTATTTATGGCGCTAATGGAGCTGTTTGTGGATCTAATGTGCAACTTAATTAGCAGTGTGGGGTTTAATACAATTTTCAATTGCAAAAATAAGTTCCTTTTACGAAGATACCACTTTTGTTCTAAAGGTATCACGTTTTTGAACTAAAGGTACCACTTTTTGGCCTCCAGGTACCATGTTTTCTAAATACTCGCTTAGCTAGCTTGGAGAATATTTTGTGTTATTCATGGCGCTAATGGAGCTGTTTATGGATGTAATGTGCAACTTAATTAGCGGTGTGGGGTTTAATGCCATTTTTAATTGCAAAAATAAGTCCCTTTTACGAAGGTACCACTTTTGTTCTAAAGATACCACGTTTTTGAACTAAAGGTACCACTTTTTGACCTCCAGGTACCATGTTTTCTAAACAAGGATAATAAGGTAAATGCATTGGAATAGGGAGAAGGGCATTTTAGGTAACAAAAATTTTAAACAGTAAAACTTCATGTACCATGTCATCATTTAGGTCAAACTCATTTTTGTGAAAATATAAGACTTTGACTTCATCCATGAGTAAATATGGCTCACTAACTTCATTTATATGTAAAAATCCCAATTGTAAATCACGTAGTCAAACTAAAGGTGCTCAAATCCAAACTTTAAGTGCTCAAATCAGAATACAAAATTGATAATAAATTGGTAACAAAATATCTCTCGCTCGGCGTGCATGAATACCAACAGCATTCAATTGATTCATGTATATAAAAATATAAAACTTATTGATGCTTAAAAGAAATCAAAACAAAAGTTCTCCATGTTTATATACTATTTTATATATGTGTGAAATATATGCCTGGAAACCAACATCGATTTGCAATCATGGTACTTTAGTTTAAAAAAGACAACAATAATTAGATATATATATATATAAATCCATATTTGTGCATGCAAACAGAAATTACACAATTTCCATTGGGGCGCAAATAACAGTGCTTACATTGGAGACTGATTAACCACGACAGTTGACACAATCAATGAAGAAATCAGTACCCAATCATGAATCGATGTATTTCAGAATAAAAGAATAATGAATCCAAAACTGCGATTCAAATATGATATATATATTTTTTCTTTTGTATATATTAGATCTGAAATCAATTTTTATTAATTTTGATTTTTACAAACCCTAACTAAGTTCTGATACTAATTGTTGGGTTTAATTAACAAATAACAAGTAGAAATCAATATTGATCATCAATTAAAGAGAGGGTTTGATCTCATACCTGATTAGAAAATTAAACTTGAGATACCTTTTTGAGAATTCTTTATCGCCCTTAGAGATATCTCAAAAATAAAGCGTTTTACCCCCTTCTGAAAGTTGTGATACGATAGGACTGAATAAGGGTTTTAAAACCCCTATATATAATAACAACAGGGGGGGACAACTTCTCTATAAACAAACATATTTAAGTCTCCCTTCCTATCATCGAAACTTAGATATCAATGGTTAGAATTAAATCACACCAAATAAGTTGGAAAACCACAATCCAACGGTATAAAAACCATACTCCCAATTAGACCACCAAATTGAAAAGTACAACCCAATCCATCAAGTATCAATAATCACATTACAATCCTAATTTAGAAAACGTAATACATAGGACCATAAAATAATTTTATAATTTAAATATATATATAAAATTCCAACAAGTCAATCTCTCCTACCAAGCTATGTGAAAATGGAGTGAGATAGATAGCACCATGTTCTTTAATCTTCTCCAAAGCAACCGTTGTATACCAACTGACTGGAGCATCTCTTGGAGGGTGTAGCTGAGTAAATACGAATTAAAAATAAAAATCGTGAAGAAATGAAAAGAAACTTCCCTAATTTCAATAGATTATAAGTAAACAAATGCAATTAAGAATGATGTTATTGTACCTGATAAGCTTTAATCTTCACTATCTCAGGTATTCTTCTCACGATCCGTACATCAGACCACAATGAGTCGATAAATATCTCAACATCATATATACCTTCGAAGCCACTAAGCATAAGCATAAAGATTATAAGTTGTACATACCATATAATAAGGTTGAATTACAATCTTCAATATACAGCTAAAAATCAATTAATCTACTATATTGGAGACAATTTCTTTTCTAAAAATCATGAGAGATTGAAATCTTCATAATGGCAGCTCAGAAGCCTCAGATCATATATCAACACAGTGCTACAAATTTGCAGAGAACTAACACAAAACCTCATTTGAACAACCAAAAAGGGAACAAACAAAACTAACATGGAATGAAATATTTAAAAATGAATTATAATAAATATTTATTAGAAGTGATATGGTGTATATTAGAATAAAGTGAAAAAAGAGAATTGGCTAAAGGCAAATAAGAAAGAATCACAATAACAAATAACATAACCAAATAGATTCAAACAAACCCTAAATGCTCTCAAATGATAATCATATTTTCAACAAATATATGACGACTTCATGCCCCTAGATAAAAAGTAAGTCCACCATCAAAGGAACAAGCCCTTTAATCTTACCAGTTCGCTGCTGTAGTATTATGAATATCGCCAGTCAATAGTAACATGAAAATGACTTTTTACTGTGGAATGAGCCATTGAATCATTCTAATAATTTACTACTATAACTTGAAAGTTTTCCTAGAAACAATAAACATTACTAATCAACATTCAGCAAGAATAGGACTCAAAACAAAGAAACCAATAGAAACAAATCCCCATACCAAAACGAATTAGACCATTTTTATAGCCCTCCAGAAGTCTGGTCTGAAAATGACATTGCTCCACCACTAATAGAAACGCGTGGGTCCACCACCCACTTAAGTCATGTGGGCCGGTCAACCAGGAGCCTTGGGCCACCCGGTAAGGCCAAGAACATGGCCCAAATCGGCAAAGGGTTGGCCCATATCCACTCGAGGGCCTAGCCCATATTGGTCAATCAAATTCAATTCGTGGGAGGAGTCCTTTGCTACGGTATTCATATGTAAACTTTGTATAAGCGTACAAGAAATCCAACACTATATGGTAGAACTCGGTGAACAAGCAATGCGAGTCCTAGTCTCATTCAACCTTTGTAAATCATTATAAATTGAAGCAATTTTTTAAAACTATTGTCTTTTACACATCATATTTTGAGCGTATTGCAAGGTTCTTTGACTTTCCAAGTCGATTGAATTTTTGCACATACACTCCCTTTCATTGAGGGAGCAGCTGGTTTGGGAATGCAAAGTTCACAACCCTAATAAAGATATGACTCCAGATTTAAAGATTCGATTGTCATAGAAAAGAAAGGAAGCAATAAAGCATTCCAAAGAAAAACCGCCCTTTTTTTCCTTGGCAAAACTGGGGGACTCAAAACGGGCACACCCTCTCGGGTCGGCAATGCAACTTGTTGAAAAAAAAATCGTATCTTGAGGAATGGTCAATGTTCTAATGCCTAAGATGAGAAAGCCCAATCAATGAAGGGATGACCTCAGTGATTATAGCATATCCAGTCCTGCAACCCAAGAAGAAATATAAACAGGCATATGGATGCAGCATGAGATTAGGCAGGCAATCCTAAAAAAAAAAAAATCATCAAACTACTCAAACCAACAAATGCAGCATGAGATTAGGCAGGCAATCCTAAAAAAAAAAATAGTAACACATTTAGAATTCAAGTGCATAAATGTTGGAAAAGGTACCCATCATCATTCCAAGAGGAGTTCACATCCAACTCGGGAAGCACATCAGCAATCTGGACCGTGACAGAAATACTTCTTATTTATATATCAAAACCATTTAAAACATGTAGCATCAAATATAAATAAACAAAACAAATAAAGATGCTTGCTAAAAAGTATAACCGACTTTAGTTCATTAGTACATCAATGTGGAATTTTCATAATTTCATCTTCACATATATGAAGCAAAATACTAACTACAAGAAAGCAGGCTCGACTTTAGATTACAGTAGTTTATGAGAAGGAAAAAAGAATCATTGATATATAAGCATTAGCTATGAGAAGCATTAGCTATGAGATGGAAAACTTGACTTCAAATAATGCTGCAAAACAAATGCATTACAAGAAGGAGAACTTGACATTCGACGGTATTAAGCCCTCAACCTGCCATAGGCGGGCAAAAGCCCAGCCCTTGACACCCCGGTTATTATAAATAAAAATAAAAACCTGCCATAGGCAGGTGACATCGAAGCAGGTGTAAATACAATGAAAGTACGAAGAGGTGGGAGCGACAATGAGAGTTCAAAAGCTTTTCCAAATATTTTCTTCAATTATTATTCATCTTCAAGTTCTAATCCCTTTTTTAAAACAGTAAAGCCCTTTTATAGGATTACGAAAACTATAATGTTATGTTTGGGAGCATCGAATCAATGCCTTGGATTTGGGATTGGAGGAAGTTTAGTTAAAAAATTGCACTAAATTTTCTCCAATCCCAAATCCAAGGCGATGATTCGGTGACACCAAACTTGGCATAAAAGAATTCATAAATACCTTCGAAACAAATTTTACCTAGCATGTAGTAGGCTAAAATTAATGAATATCTATAATAAGTTTAATTACACATCCTCATAAAAATCACAACAATATCTTTTAAAAAATCCAAAAAAACCTAATAATTTAAGATATATCAATCTTGTGACTCTTATATCAACTATAGTGCATCAAATATGTTGGCTATAGTTTCAACCAACTAAATAATTTCTAAGTGAAGAGAGGAGAGAAACAAATATTGTATTGAATTGAATTCTTTGTTGTGTTCATATCTTAACAACAAATACATTACCCTATATATACTATTCTCCCATAGACCTTTGAACTTTTCAAGACAATCTCAACCACACACATGATACATGCACACACTTGATACATGTATCCACTTGATACATGTACAATAATAGATGCATGAATGAACATATATATGAATGAACATGGCATTAATTATTTTTAACACACCCCCCTTAATGCCATGTTATGACACCCAACAATTCTCTAAAGTATTCAAACTTATTTTTTGGAAGTGCTTTGGTAAAAATGTCCGCAACTTGGTCTTCTGTCTTACAATACTTGAGTTGAATCTCTTCATTCTCTACGGCTTCTCTAATGAAGTGATGCTTGATTGCAATGTGTCTTGTGCGACTATGGAAAATAGGATTCTTTGTCATAGCAATTGCGGATTTGTTGTCACATAAAATTGGAGTAGCTTCCCTTTGCTTCTCACCAACATCTTCAAAAATTCTCCTTAGCCATATTGCTTGTGACGCTGCCATTGATGCTGAAATATACTCAGCCTCGGCAGAAGATTGCGCAACCGTTTCTTGCTTTTTAGATGCCCATGAAAATACACCCGAACCAAGAGAGAATGTATAACCGGAAGTACTTCTCATATCATCAACAAATCCGGCCCAATCACTATCACAAAAACCAAACAACTTTGCATCAACATTTTTCTCATACAAGATACCAAAATCAAGTATACCTTGTATATATCTCAATACCCTCTTTGCAGCCCCAACATGAATTTGACTTGGATTGTGCATAAACCGAGATAATAAGCTTGTAGCATACATGATGTCGGGTCTTGAAGATGTCAAATATAATAGACTTCCAACCAAGCTTCTATAGAGAGATGCATCTGCTTCTTTACTTCCATCTTCTTTCATCAATTTTTCATTCACAACCAAGGGAGTGCAAACGGATTTGCAATTCAACATTTTGAATTTTTCAAGAAGAGTTTTTGCATACTTCTTTTGACAAATAAAAACTCCTCATTCTTTTTGATAAATTTCAATGCCCAAGAAGTAATGCAACAAACCCAAACCACTCATTTCATATTTTTTTATCATCTCTCTTTTAAAATCATCAATCATTTTTTCATCACTTCCGGTAAATACCAAATCATCAACATAAAGAGAAACAATAAGAATCCCAGTTTTACCTTGTGTCTTGTAGTACAAGGTTGGCTCACTTTTGCTCCTTTGAAAGCCTTTTTTGATGAAGTAAGAATCAATCTCACTATACCATGCCCGGGGTGCTTGTTTTAGGCCATACAAAGCCTTCTTTAATTTGTAAACTTTCTCTTCTTCTCCTTTTGCAACAAAGCCTTGAGGTTGTTCTACATAGACATCCTCTTTCAAAATACCATTCAAGAAGGCTGATTTTACATCAAGTTGATACAAGGACCAGCCATTTTTAGCCGCCAAGGCAATGAGTGCTCTAATTGTGTCAAGACGAGCCACGGGTGAAAAAGTTTCTTGAAAATCAATTCTGGGCTGTTGTGAATACCCTTTTGCTACAAGTCTTGCTTTGTTCTTTTGAATGGAGCCATCCAGATTAAATTTTGTTTTAAAAATCCATTTCACACCAATCACATCTTTGTCTTCCTGCTTCTCTACTAACTCCCAAGTCTTGTTCTTCTCAATCACATAAATTTCATCTTCCATAGCTTTCTTCCATGCCTCTTGTTTAATTGCTTCTTCAAAGTTCTTCGGTTCAACAACACAAAAATTGCAACTTGCATACACATCACTAAGACTTTTCATTCTTCTTGGAGTTGAACTTGGAGATGAGGAATTTGAGTTTGATGGAGAAGTTGGGATTGATTGTAAGCTAGATACGGGAGACATTTCTTGTGGAACTTCAAGAAAATCTTCATTTTCATTTTCTTGATTTCCTGATTCTTCATTGAAAATGGGGATTTGATCTTGAACTTTCTTCTCTTTCCAATCCCAAGCAGCCTTCTCGTTAAAGAGAACATCTCTACAAATAATCAATTTAGTCTTCTTCAAATTAAAGAGTCTATAGCCCTTTGATTTTGAGCTATAACCCACAAAGATGCATTTTTCACTAGCTTCATCAAGTTTGTGCCTCACTTCTCTTGGAACATAAGCAAAACAAATACACCCACAAACTTTCAAGTGTTTCAATGATGGCTTCCTTCCACTCCATGCTTCAAATGGAGTTTTATTCTCCACCGCTTTTGTTGGACTCCTATTCATCAAGTAAACAGCCGTATACACAGCTTCACCCCAAAATGATTTAGGTAGCCCCTTCTCATGAAGCATTGATTTTCCCATCTCAATGATTGTTCTATTTTTCCTTTCTGCCACTCCATTTTGTTGTGGAGTGTACCCAACCATTAATTGTCTCTCCAAGCCAATATCTTCACAAAACTTTTCAAACTCATTTGAGTTGTATTCTCCACCTCTATCACTTCTTAACACTTTGATAAGATGGCCACTTTGCCTTTCAACAAGATTTTGAAATTTTTTGAAAATAGAGAACACATCTGATTTTTGTCTCATGAAATAAATCCATGTCATTCTTGAAAAATCATCAACGAAAATAACAAAATACTTGTTACCCGCTTGAGTTGGTGTTGTCATCGGTCCACACACATCGGTATGAACAAGCTCCAATGGTGCTTTAGCCCTCCATGCCTTCTCTTTTGGAAATGACTCTCGGTGATGCTTGCCAAGAGCACAACCTTCACAAACTTCTTTAACTTCTTGTATTGTTGGCAACCCATACACCATGCTATTTTGTTGTAAATTCTTTAAGCTTTGGAAATTCAAATGGCCAAGTCTTTTATGCCAAAGCCAAGACTCATCAGCAATATCCATTTTCAAGGCCATATTTTTTGAACATGAAAAAGTGAGAGGAAAGCTTCTATTTTTGCCTATCTTGATTTTTGCTACAATTTGATTTTGTCCTCCCTTGTCATAAATTTTGCAAGAGTCCTCATCAAAATGAATGGAGTACCCATGCTCTACAAGCTGTCCAACACTTAACAAATTTTGCTCCAAATCCGGAACAAGTAACACATCCCAAATATGCTTTCTTCCTTTTTTTGTCTCTATGGCAATAGTACCTTTTCCTTTTGCTTGGACCAAGGCATCGTTTCCCATCCTCACTTGAGAATTGGATGAAGAATCAATCTCCAAGAATGTGTTTTTATCTTCGGTAATGTGGTTACTACACCCACTATCAAGAAACCACACATCATCATTTTGTTCCGATGTCGAGTGACAAGCATAAAACATGCTCGTTTCATCTTCTTGCTCTTCGGAAAAATTAGCTTGCTGATTTGTTTTCAACCGACAATCTTTTTGAACATGTCCAAATTTCTTGCAATTGAAACACTGAGGTTTTCCCCGAAACCAACAATCTTTGTCAACATGGCTACTTCTCTTGCAAATTCCACAATTTTGTTGAGTGGACTCTATATTTCCACTTCTCTCAAAATTATTTCTTCCTCTTCCTCTTGAATTTCTTCCTCTTCCTCTTCCGTGTCTTCCACCTCTAGAAAATTCACCTTTGGACCGATCAAAACTTGATGGGTATTTTTCTTGATTTTTGGAACTAACATTGAGCTTGGATTGAAAAGCACTTTCAATTGTCTTTTCGGAGCGCCTACTCAACCTTTGCTCAAATGCTTTTATGGAACCCATCAATTCTTCAATACTCAAGTTTTCAAGCTCTTTAGTCTCTTCAATAACAGCAACAATAGAGTCATATTTTTCCGGCAAACTAATCAGAATTTTTTCAACAATTCTTTGATTAGAAATATCTTCCCCATAGGTCTTCATTTGATTTACCACCTCCATAAATTTAGAAAAATAATCTTTCAACAACTCCATTTCTTTCATTTTCATATTTTCAAAATCTCTTCTCAAAGATTGGAGTTTTACAGTTCTTACCTTCGTGCTGCCTCTATACTCCTTCTTGAGAATATCCCATGCCTCCTTTGCTTTAGAAGCATTGATAATTCTAGGAAAGATTGTATCAGCAACTCCTTGTTGAATCAAGCCTAAAGCTTTTGCATCTTTCTTCTTATGATCTTTCAATTGTTGTCTTTGGGCATTCGTCAAAGTTGTTGTATCCTCCAGTTCATCATACTCATCTTCAACATAATCCCATAAATCATATGAGAGAAAAATGGTCTTCATCTTCACATACCAAAAATCATAATTTTCCCCATCAAAAATGGGAAGTGCTGATTGATGGGCACCTTGGTTTTGATTGCCTGTAGTCGCCATCACGATGGATCTTCTTCGGGGTTTATTTTCCCGTCAATAAGCTTCACGCCCAGTTTGCTCTTGATCGAAATCAAGCTCTGATACCACTTATGTTGGCTATAGTTTCAACCAACTAAATAATTTCTAAGTGAAGAGAGGAGAGAATCAAATATTGTATTGAATTGAATTCTTTGTTGTGTTCATATCTTAACAACAAATACATTACACTATATATACTATTCTCCCATAGACCTTTGAACTTTTCAAGACAATCCCAACCACACACATGATACATGCACACACTTAATACATGTACACTCTTGATACATGTATCCACTTGATACATGTACAATAATAGATGCATGAATGAACATATACATGAATGAACATGGCATTAATTATTTTTAACAAAATATAGGGATATAACAATGATACGATCAGTAGGGGACCAGAGAGAATAGCTAAGAGCCACAAATTTGGAAAATGGAAAATTTGAAGGAATATAGCTAGTGCATGTTAAAAGAAAGCATCAGCTACAAACCGCACTGCGATGCTGATAGAGACCCCCGATACAATGAACAAGCAAATACCCATTGCTATCTATATTCTTGAGCCGGAGGAGCTGCCAAAGTGAGAAATAAGAGCAAAATAAAGAAGTTTAAGATCAAAGCTTACACCAAAAAGGGTGCAAGTTATCAACATGATTGTGAGTATATTGAATTTAAATGTCACATGCTTAACCATTTTACCATCAAATTCTAAATGGATGTCTGACAGAGGAGTCCTTTAACTAACACACGACATATTTGCAAGAGCATATGACATGGTGGGGTTTCATACATAATTAAATACTGGTGTTACCCAATGAGTTTTTTTTTTTTTTTTTTTACATTGCTTAATCTCTTTATTATAGTAAAGATAAAAAATCATTCAAAAGCTCCAAGCAACTTGTGGAATTCGTTTTCTCAAAAATAAATAAATAAATAAGTACTAAAATTTTCATGTAAATCCCAAAGTTTCTAACATTCTGAGATTATTTTTAACTTCTAAAGGAAGTCAACCATGAGAGTGAGCACAAAGCACCGTCATACCGAGATGGGTGGGTTGTTACTCTTCATCAAGATGATCTCTGGAGGAAACTTTGAATGAAGCTGGGATGGAAGGATGGTTACTCTTGGTCCAGATGATGCATATCACCACAACTGCAATGGATAAGCTTACAAACACTCCCTTTCCTCCCGCACTTCTGCAATTCAAAGTCTCAGATAAAATCACATATAAGAATAAAACATATACAGGTAATTTTATATTACTTAGATTTAGTTTGATTTCAATGTTGGATTTATGTTCCCAATTTAGTTTGCTACATCTTAGAGTTAAAATGTACTAATGTTGAGTTCTCAATTCCAAATTCAAAGCACCGATTCAATGTTCCCAAATATAGCATAAATGTTCTGGTATTCATCTTAGTCTTGCCTTTGTTTTGCCAACAAACTAACAGATGTAACAGTGCTGACTTTCTTAGGATAAATTTAATTCAAGAAGTAACTTTCAAAAGAATAAGGATCATCTCCTCTGCATTGTTGGTGATCAATAACTAACCGATCCACGTTCAGACCAAAAGTGCAAGGCATTGTGTTTTTTCTCCTAATTTGAAATCAAGATCAATGATCTTCTTTGGAAGCACTTTTGACCGA